ATTCTACGTAAGTTCAGGAAGTCAGTATTTCCGACTCTCTGACAACTCCAGAACACAACGTGTCACCACGTCTTATCCCGGCCTCTCTCTTCCTGCCGAGACACGTCTGAGACGATGCACATGAACTCCTGCAGAAGATCTCGACGAGACCAGCCTGACGGTGAAAAGAGATAAAGACAGTCTGTAATCTTGACATTTCTCGGGTGTTTAAAAAAAAACTGCTGAGATCACTGCTGGAGCGTGTATCGGCCGGCTCCACAAATGTGTAGCTGTTCCAATCTGTGGCCTGCAGGCAGATATATGCCACCTGGAACAGTGTATGACGGGACGATCAGGTGATTATTAGGGATGTACAGGCTGTAATTAGCTACAGTTGGATTTCCTCTTCCTCTTATTAACAGACGTGTTGATGTTCAAGGCTGACCTCACCCGTACTGAGAGGAGGTTAACAAAAAAAGGGGGGTCTTTTTTCTTTTTTTGATGAAATTAAATTTTAAAAAACTAGCGGTTTTGATGCCTTATGCTAACTGTAGCATTTATTCCAAATGTCACATCCTGTACAGATGAACTGAGGCTGTTAGACTTTAGTCTCTCAGATCAGGGCTTTCCAAACGTTTCCGTTCCAAGCGGCTGTGGACCCCCGTGACAACCCACAAAAAATGCTACGAAATATGTATAGAAACTTTAGAAGATTTTTAAATTTCTATTTTCTTACTTTTATTCGCTATTCAGTAATTATTAAATGAATGTTTTCTCCTCCCGCCGTGCAAAACTAATTCAGAAGAATCCCACCATGTCCCTGAAGCCTCTTTCATTTGTCTCGGAGTGTAAATTACTCATCAATGAAGGAGTCTAGCGCCCCACGGTGTTGGTCTGACTATTCAACAGGACATGGTGTGTTTGAAACAGTGTTTGAAACGAAATCTAAAACTGACACAGAATGTCTTCCCTGAGTCGCCACAGTCTGCCCTCCAGGAATCCTGGGCAGCAGTTCTACTCCGGAATTTGGTAGGAAGAGTAGATGGAGTTTCCTGAACCCCTGCAGTGACAGGCCCTTATGTTGGGAACCCCATCAGTGTCACAGGAAGCTAAAACAAAAAACAACCCCTCAATCCTCAATTACCTTCACCAACAGAAAATGTCGTTCAAAGACGATTCCAGAGCAACATGACGTTCTAACCCAACATGTACTGAGGAGAGTACATTCTATCCCGTGCAGCCGTGGATGTTATGGTAACAGAGAAATACTTTCCACGCTCAAGTGGGAATACGAAGAGCGACTTCGGACCAGACGGAGGGCACGGGGGCAGAGGCGGAGGAGAGACCACCGGA